GTTGATTAAAATTAATATCTTAAGACAACAATATTAATACTACATGTTTTGCATTTGGGGCAAGATGATCTTCCCTTATTCTCTGGAGTTTTGCTCTGACTTTATTTAAGTCTGACAGAAAGTAGGCCCATTGTACACTCGGAATGAGTGGGTTATGAGGGCATGTAAGAGGAGGTTTGATGTCCCATGACACTTGAACTAGGGTTTCACACTATGCTAAAGGGCATGAGGAGGAGAAACTGGAGTCAGTCGTATGAGATGGGAGGCTCTATGGGATTAGGCTGTATTGACAACGCCTGCGTGAGAACCTTTCTCTGGATGCTTTCGTGTCCTGGGTCGTGCTATGAGGATGGTTCACTTAAGGGGGAAAACCCATTATGCAAAAATGCATCTTAAAAAACAGATAACTTCAGTAGAGTTATTTTCATTACTAATTCAGCAGGGTTCCTTTAAAAACCATCTCCCCTACTGCATTTAAGGGTGTTATTTACAGATGATGAGCTATTTGGCTACAAAGCAGGACAATTTAAGTTTAAAGCATCTAAGGCCAGGTAAAGATTCGTGAAACAAATACAAACTCGGGAGTGCTCATAGAGGCCAGTGAACACAGAGGATACAATTTACAAAAGTGCAATGTATTTCCCCCTTTTCCAGGAGCACAACTGCTCCTCCAAAGCGAGAAGCATGCACTTTCAAGCTAAAAACCAGGTGAATCCTCAATAATGGCTGAGAAGAGAGGGGGCCTCAGCTTCTGCGGAAAAGGCTGGATCCTTAGAGCAAAAGAGGCCACACTGTTCAGACCTCAGAGACAAGGCCTCTGGCTCTTACCCAGGTGTATGTCACACCTGGAGACAGGAGAGGTATCTCAGGTGACTGTGTCTGGTGAAAATGGGGTGTGACTTTGTACCTGGATGTACACCTTAATCTGGGAGAGGAAACCCAAGTAAATGTTGCAAAGAAGACAGCTAATTGCAAACAGCCTGGCCCAAAAGGGCATTGCTGACTTGGAGAAGAGGGAGAAAGGAAGTCTTAGCCAAGTGCTTTGGGAGGAATGGATAATCTTTACACTCAGCAACAATGTGTAGCCTCAGGATACAGATAATGGAAGGCCCCTCCAGCCACCCAGCTGGAGAAGAGGAGGTCTCAGGTTGGCTGCCCTTACAAAACACTAACTGAGCGGGTCAGTCTAAATACCATTACTGGAGGGGTAAGAAACCAGCTTTGGTTTGTTTTGTTATGGGCTAGGAGGGTTAGCTAGTCATTGTTGTTGTCTTTGATACTAATACATACCAGGGCACTGCTTTTCCTTATTATTTTTGAAAAATTGCTATCAATCTAAGTACCCCAAATGGAGGGGGGATAGATTAAAATGTAATATCATGAAACAACAGATTATTACGAGGTCATTAGCATATTTGCATAAAGTACACATGACAGGATAATAAGTGAAAATAATAGGATGACAAATGTGTAGATAATATGACTGATTATACAATTTTAAAATGAAGGGTGTTGGGCACACACACATCATACAGTTTCTATAATTATTATAAATCTTTCCTCTTAAACTCAGAAAAAAAGTATTATAAACAGTGAAGCAACAGTCCCATTGTCTATTTTCAATAATAAAATGGATCCATTAGGTCAGTGCCGTAGACCAATTCCAGCATGTCATAATTTCAAGAGTTTCATCAAAAGGTTGATGAGACTTGGGGACTCAACAGGGTTGAGTCACACATGTAGTCACCTGTTGGGAATGGCTAAAGGCATTTCCCCAAACCTGAATTGGAAACTGATTGTGGCTGCCAGACAGTTAAAGGGCATCTTAATCTACATGTTATTGCCTCCTACTGGCCAAACACCTGAACAGCCGGAGACTATTCCCCAAACTGACAATGCTTCTGTACCCTTTGAAACCTTACCCTTTGAAGTGTATTATCTTCACCTTGCCTTAGGATACACTGTGTTAATAAAAGCAAGGGTCCTAGACAAGGAGACAGTCTTCAGTTCCTTTAGCTGATGGTCCTCTGACCCCCAATGCCTTTCAAAATTATATATCGTCTCCGGACTCTTTATTAGTCTCTGGATTCCTATGTCATCTACGCGGAGCCTTTTCCAGATTCCTGAACCTTTCTTGATGCTGGGACATGAACCCCGGCAGTCAAGAGTTCAGAATACTTTTTTAAATAAAGAGTCAGATTACCAAGATTTTAGGCTCTGTGGGCAACCTATGTCTCTTTCCCATTATTTCTGTTTTTGTTTTGTTTTTATAATGCTTTTAAAAAAATCTAAACTCATTCTTTGCTCACAAGCCTTACAAAAGCAGGCTGTGGGCTGGATGTGACCCTTGGCTGTAGTTTGCTGACCACTGCGTCACATGATTTCATCTCCCATGTGTTTCACTGATTTTAATATGGAGAACGGAGACAGGTATCACATGCTCTCACTTATATGTGGAATCTAATGAACAAAATAAACTGGCAGACAGAACAGGTCCAAAGGCATGGATGCATGGAACAGACTCACAGATCTCAGAGGGCAGGGGAGTGGGAGCCTAGAAGAGATTAATCAATGAACTTATATGCATATGTGTATAGCCCATGGGCACAGATAATAGTGTAGTGAAGGCCTGGGGTGGGTCAGAGGCTGGGGGGAGGGGGGAGGCAAAAAGGGGGACACAGGGGACATCTGTAATACTGTCAACAATAAAAACAATTAAAAATTTAAATAAATATGGAGAACTGTGGCCTAGTTCTGTGTTTGACACAATCACACATACTTTCCCTGAGTCGATCTAGAATGGCTGTACAAATTAAAACCAGCCTTTTTTAAGCTTGATTCATTTTGTGCCCTTTTGAAAAGAAAACGGAAATATAAATACAGCCTACGATTATAGAAAGCCACACTGTCCAATATGGTGGCCATTAGCCTCTCAAGGCTAATTAGAATAACACTAATTGAAATTAAGTAAAATGAAAAAGTCAGTGTCTCGGTCCCAGGATCACACTCACTGGACAGTGAGGAGATAGGCAGTTTCCTCCCAGATGGTCCCATAGGACAACTGTATTAAAGAAAAACCTAAGTAACCCTCTGGAATTCAGCCCAACTCTCCTTCAGAAATAGTGTGTATAGAGATGAGGGAGGGATCTGTATAGTGGGATGATGATGAGATTTAGAGCCAGTTGGGGCCAGAAGATTAATTTCCCCAGGTTTAAGAAACAAATCTACCCTATACTGGCTGGGTGGTCCTGAGTGAATCGCCCCACTTCTCTGTGCCCCCCATTTCCTAGGCTGTAAAGCAAACATTACAAAACCTACCTGGTGCAGATTTAGCAAGGATCAAAAACAAGGCTGAGTATGTGAAAATGTACAGTAGCATTCTCATCTATGATATGTATGTACAGGCATCTGCACTGGCCCAAATGGGACACTTTTCATAAATTCGGGAAGAGCCACATCTGGCTGGTATGGCTAGCTTCTCGGAGACCTGGCAATTCATGAATGTCAAAGCTGCCATTGAAGATTATGCTCTGGTTGGGAGAAGCCCTTGGCTGCCCACATGACCTGAAGCCTTCAGGGATCCTCATGTTTCTCGTGTTCATGTTTTGGGATCCCGGTCACTGCTTCTAACTGTTGCCCCAAAATGAAGAGGTGGGTTTATCTCAGCCTTTGGGAATTGAGATGCTCGGTCTTGGCAGGTGGTCAGGCTTCTCCTGTCTCTCATCCTCTAATCATCATGAGCTTTCGTCTTCCGCTCTCTCCCACCCCCTCTTTAGCCCGTCTCAGAAGCATCACACCTCCCCATGGTCTCAGACTCACTTCTGAGCACGGATCCCAATGAGGACCTGCTTGGGTAGGTATAGGAATTGCATAGGGTGTACACACACAGTATGAAATAGATGACAAGGTCAGACTGTGGCTAGAGACTGAGGAGGGGCTGGGAACCATGTGGGATCCAGGAGCACTTTAGGTCCTGCTCTGTGAATTGAGAGAGGGAGTGGCCATTGCAGGGGTCCTCAAACTTTTTAAACAGGGGGCCAGTTCACTGTCCCTCAGACCGTTGGAGGGCTGGACTATAGTTTAAAAAAAAACTATGAACAAATTCCTATGCACACTGCACATATCTTATTTTGAAGTAAAAAAACAAAACGGGAACAAATACAATATTTGTATTTGCATGTGGCCTGTGGGCCGTAGTTTGAGGACCCCTGCTTTAGAGCATCCACCCCAGGCAGAGCAACCCTTGTTTTCCACCTCAACATTGTGATCTGGCTTCCCTTGTTATTTTGGTTTCCTCCCCCTAGTCCATGATGGGTATACTCACATCTATTAAAGAACCTTTAACTTGCTGTTTCCCCTAGTTAAATGGGGGGAGGGGGCAACCACATTCTTTTCTCTTCCCCTCCTCCTCCTCCTCCTCCTCCTCCTCCTCCTCCTCCTCCTCCTCCTCCTCCTCCTCCTCCTCTTCCTCAATGGAATCACATAGCCAAGGATAGAACAGCCTTGCAAACAAGTCACTAGCCCAGGCTACTCATATTTCCCACACTGAGGAAATTCCGTTCAAGAGGACTGACCTAGCACCTCTGCTAGGCTAGGGTGCCAGTTGAATGGCCTGAATGTTTTAATTCAATATTTCTCCTATGAATTTACAAAGCTGTGGTAGGAGGCAGGCAATGAGCTACAGGTTCTTCCCTCCTTCCCTTCCCTTCCCCTCCCCGACCCCAATACCCCATGTCCCATCCATTGGACCCAGTCCTGACAGGTCTGCACAAAGAATGGCTGGGACATCCGGGACATGAGGATTCAGACATAATGAGCAGAGGGATTGGATGCTAAGGCAACGGGAAACAGAGACATGCTCATGGAAATCAAATTCACCTGGAGGGGGCCACGCGGGAGGGCGGTGCGGAGGGAGGGGAAGGGGACTTACATGGCAGGGAAGGTGACTGGACTCAGAGTTATGTCACAAAACAAAAAAAGGAGCCACAACATGGGCTTACTTGCGGAAGTATATACAAGTGAACTGGGGGCACTGTACATGGAAGATCCCTCCTGGTTTGCCTGGCACAACAGCACCGTGCCTACGAAAGAGAGAGAGATAGATGGTATCTGGTTTGGGAACAGGCACACTACACCTGAGAGATCACGGCAACGCAAACGAGAAAGGCAGGCAAATGAAAACATAGCCACACCCCAGAGCGTGTGACGGGACCCCCACAGCAGCCCCTGCCTTAGCCAGAGGGAGCCGGGGAGGCCCGCCCCCAGCCCACCAAGCACATGTCATTCCTTTCCCCACGGGTGGGCATAGAGGAGCCTGGCTGGCCCAGGACCCCAGCTTCAGGTCCATAACGGAAGCAGCATGCCATGCTCAAAGGGGAGTGTGGAAATTTCAGGGAGAACGAGATAGCAAGCCTGACTCAGACTCCTACTTGGCTGTGTGATCATGGTGAGTGACTGTACCTCTCTGTGCCTTGGGAGTCCCACCTGGAAAATGGGGTGAATATACCTACCTGCAAGAGGGGTGGTGAGTCATATGACGGAGACATGCCCAGCACAGGGGCTGGCTCAGAATCATTACTCAGCAAATGGCAAGCATGTGTGTTGCTATGTTTACAGAAAAGTGTTCCTCCCCCACCACCCACACTTAAGTCCAAATCAGTTCTTCTGAGGAAGAGCACAAGTAAGACAGGGAAGAAACAAATGCAACTTTCGCTGTTCCTGTGACCCACCCTGACCCCCCTGTGGACTCGGGGTGAGACCATGTAGGACTTCTGCATCTCCTGCGTCTCCCCTAAAGCTCCCAGTCCCCAATGGGAGAGGCTGTGTCACTGCCCCTGAAGACTGCCCACAGCGGCACTGCAGCGAGGACTTGCCCCCCGATTTACAGCAAAGGAGCCTGCTCATCCTTGCAAAGAGGAAGCTTATAGAGGGAAGAACGGTGGACTCCTGAGATATCTCTCAATCTATGCCATGTTTTGCTCAACCACCCCTGCCAAGGATAACCAGGGCCAGGGCTCTTCAGGGTATCAAGTCTGCTCTCCTACTGCTGCTCAAACTCCGAGGCTTTGCAAAGTGGGAGAGAGACATTTGAGGAGCTTGCCGCCCATTCCTGATGACGGGAATACACTTCCCTGTCTGGTCAAGGTCAGCACCTCCACTGGTCTCTGTATTCTCCCATCCTCAGAGGAAAGCAATCCCCTATGAAAAGAAGCCTGAGTCTCAGGGAACCTGGAACTCACCTGGACCCTTGGAGACCTGCCCTCGGGTGATGAGGGGGACATTCTATAACCTTTTTGTACATTACCCACGTTCAACACAAGTGTAGTTAAAACTTCCAGAGTGAATGGGGCTTCACCAAATAGAGAGGTGCTGCCACAGGACACCACTAAGAGACAGTAATCTTTCCTGATGTACAAGCCCAGACACAACTCCAGAGGTGGTCTCCTCACCTCTATTCCCCCATCCCTCAGGTGCCAAGCCAAAACAGAGGGATCGCAGGAGGACACTGAGGGGCCGTCCCCAAATTCCACTTCTCCCCTGATCCTGGTGTCTCTCTGGATTTTGTACATTATTTTCAGGTTACACAAAGATTCTATTAACATTCCTGACTTATCTCTCCCTCCCCCAACACCAGGTGGGCCCAGTCCATCCAATGTGTGAGGAGGAGAAGTATTCCCTGGGAGGAAGTTCTGTCTGAAGGAACGTCCCCTGGTCCCTCTCCTGCTTGCCTTGGGGTCCTGGGCTTATAACTGGAGGAGAGCCCCCCACCCCCTCCTCCCTAAAAGCCCAGATGTAAGAGTGGAATTTACTGACCTTCCCTTGGTAGCAAGTGTATTAAGAGGCTGGATGGGCCTGAGTCATAATCAACCTTTGCTAAACTGACAGTGCTTTCTTCTTCCTACTGTAGGTGAGAACAGTTTATTGTAACTTATGAGCCTTCACATGACCTACTTTCTCTGCAGTGGGTATTTCCAGTTCTGTCAGGAGGCTGGTCTGTGATGGGGATGAACCACAAATGAACTGAACATCAGACCATGGGATTCGGGGTCTAAAATCAACCAACAGGAGGTAGGACACCCAGCAGAAAAGACAGGCCCTAACCCCCTCCCTGCTTTTCCAGTGAGACTCCTTTGGCTCATTGCTAGAACTCTTGGAGAGAAGCTAATGTTTCCATGGGATCGAGAGAGAGCTACTAAATCAGAACCTTCTAGAGTGGGGCTAGGGGAGGTGGGGTAGGAGAAAGTTCTTCCACGAGACTTTCCTGGGCACCTCTGGTTAAGAACCTCCATTAAGCCTGCCAGTTTGGCTCAGTGGTTGAACATCAACCTATGAACCAGGAAGTCATAGTTCAATGCCCAGTCAGGGCACATGCCCTGGTTGCAGGCTCAATCCCCAGTAAGGGGGTATACAGGAGGCAGCTGTTAGATGATTCTCTCTCATCCCTAATGTTTTTCTCTCTCTCTCTCCCTCTCCTTTCCTCTCTGAAATCAATTAAAAAAATATATATTTTTTTTAGAAAGAACCACTATTAAAATGAGATCTGAAATGTCTTGGGGTATATAGGTTTCAAAAGGAAAATAATGTAATTGTAGCAAATATATATGCAGAAGGGCATTTTAGTATTTCACAGTTAAAATCATGGACTGATTTTCAATAACCCCAGTGCAATGTAGGGGTGCCAATGAGATATGACACAGATTCCCTCTAGAAGGCTGAATCCTGGCAGGGCGTAATGACGCTTTCCTTGCTTTCTTATGCTGTGGGTCCTGAGAAACTGCTCTGAAATAGCTTCTTTGGATGCCCTCTAAGTAGTTAAAAAAAAATCCTTTATGCAATGATTTTGACCTTTGTAAAACGAAATGTCCACTGTCACAGGACTTGGTTGTGATGTTACCTAAAAACATCCTCCAATTTAATTTGCAAAGTACTTATTGTGTGTTCTCTCAGTACACTGTGACCTTTTCTTAAAAGAAAGCTTTGAATTAAGCAAAAGCAAAGCAGTGGAGGAATACACTGTAAGCTCCGTGCATTTCTCTGGGGTGGGGGCGCGGGTGGTGTATGTTTAAGCAAGTGGAATAGATAGTGGGGTACAAGCAGTAGTATCGGGGGGTGTTTACAAACAAGGTCATCCAAAGCAAGTTGTGATACAGCCATCTAAGGAGTCTCCAGAAGTGAGTCTTCCACCCACACCCCCGTCATCCCCAGTATAGCTCACCCACCTCTGACTACCGGGGCCTGCCTACACCCAGGAGGACAGCCTAAGACTTCTGTGATTTTGTTTCTAAAGCTTCTTATCATTTAAGTATGGCAAGTATGTTTAATTTAGACCCATTCCTTAGTCGGGACAGACCACGGAACAATTCCAATATTATTCTTTCCTGTTGCCCTGGAATCCTTGGAATCATTCTCAACACAGCTTCTGGACAGTTACCACCATTCAATTAGAGTCGGTGAAAGGGATGCAATCTGCATGCTGGTCCTGCTCTTATTGTTAAGATAAACCATCAGAAATCGACCTTTTGCTTTTATGGTCAATAGGGTTGCATGTTGGCAATTTCATACGGTTCAATTTGAAGAAAGATGCCTTCCCCTCTCCCTTCTGTGTAGTTTAAAAGTCACCTCCTCTCTTCTGAGTCCCTAGGATTTATTTAATTGTTCCCTCTTCTAGGTTCCTATCACTACTGCACTGAGGACTACTGGGCTGGAAAAATAAAGCATTGTTCAGAATCAGCATCACTATGTTAGCTCATCTGCACCAATAGAAATGCCTTCCTTCCATTGATGTAATCGGTCCCCTTCCCTTTCTCATAAATGCCCATCGCCTCCGTCTCCTAATCAGTACACTATTTGGGCTTCTGCATGAATTAGTGATTCCCAAACAGCTATTCCTATCGATGTCAAATAACCCCTTGCTGCCTCTCACTTTGAAAAGCCTTTCTTAATTTTAAGTTAACATATGTTTTTAAGGACCTTTTCTATTTTTATTTTATTTTATTTTGCTAAAAATAGTGCTCTGTCCAACCAAGCTTCCTTGTGTGTGCCTTCTTCTGTCCCTTTCTGATAGCTGGGGATTTGCATGCCTGAAGTTCACACATAGTTACAAACTGTATCTCTGGGATTCATTTCTTTCCTCTTTTCTAGCTCTTTTTAGATTGAGCCATCCAGCTTCACATGATGCCTGGGCAGCCTGGTCACCCGTTTGCTAGAAAGTTGATGGCTATCTGCAACGGGCAGGGAAGGGACTCTGTGTGACAGACCACAATCTCGGAATGACCAGAGCCTTTTGCAAGGCCTGCCACCTCAGTCACTCCTAATACCATGATCATCAGCATCTCAAATTCTGGCAAGATGTCCACAAGGGCACTCTCGGGGAAGACTTGCAGTCCTCCAGTTGGGAGAGGGTGAGGCAGGGTCCATGTCTCCAATGAGTCAGCCCAACCCTTTCTCATCTGGAGACTCCCCTGGAGGGGCGGGGAGAAGCCTAGAAGGGGGATTCCTATCACAGGCAGGATGGTGAAAGAGTCTAAACTTTTAATTCTAGTGCCAACCCTTCGGTGAGGAAAATGGGCTCAGAGCAACAGGAGCCAAGGTCTGGCCTCACACCTGCATGCCCCTGCAGGGGCTGCTGCTTCCCGGAAGCCCTCCCCTGCCTCCTCTATGCACCCCTGGTCAAAAATCACTTCTAAAATAAGATCTGAAGTTTCTTTGGGTACCCACATTTCAAAGTAAAAATAACATACTTGCAGCAAAAATATATCCAGGAGGACATTTCAGTAATTTGCACTTAAAACCACAGGGTCAGTTTTCAATACCCTCCATGCAATTGGGAGAGTCTCATGACCTCCTGGTCATTCCCTCTAAACCCGGCTCTGGCTTCTGCTCCTAGAACCTGGGTCTATGTGCCTCTACCTGGCCAGGTTCCGCTTCCTTCCTCTGCTTTCCCAGATTGTGTTGTAATCACCTCTTTAATGAATGTCTTTCCCAGGAACACTACAAATACCCAGAAGTCGGGAATCGTGTCTTACTCGTTCTCCTGTCCCACGGAACCCGGGACCTAAGAGGCAGGAAGCCACTGGGGAGA